GCCTGCATGAGCATATATGTGTAAGAGAGAATTTTAATTGTTATTGTAATAATTTTCTTTCACTGTTGTCATGATTGTTATAAATGAATTTTTCTCCTCAAATAATCTCTTTTACTATGTCCTTATTATCCATCTTATAATGAACTTCATTTGCAGGTTCACAATGGGCGACAACAGCCATTCCTGCCGTGGGTTTGAAACTCCAACTTTGGGGAATGACCTTTGGCCAATGGGCTTTGACATGGACTTGGCTTTGGACGGACCGGTTGCTCGTAAGGGCCCAGGTGGACCACTCTCCTCTGCAGGCCTAGGGTGTGGAGGGCTCAACACCCTACAGGCTGGAACCAACACAGGAGCTGGGGCTTACAATGACATCCACCAGCTCTCCAATTTATCATCCATATGGCAGAGGTTTGATGATCTCCAAGCTGGGGATATCTGCCAGATGACAGACCTGACAAATTCTCTGCCGAAGGGTGACAGTGAGACGGCGCAGAGCCTCCTCGCAAAGCTAGCTGGTCAGGACTTGGGACCTGATCTGTCATCAGGAGCTGATCCCTCGCACAAGGAGCTGGAGTCCTCTTTGTTTGATCAAGCACAGGGCATGCCACATGGAGGGGCAGCTAATGGCCAAGGAATAACACTCTTGCACAAGTCCCAGTTGGAATCAGCAGAAATTTATGGGCGGATGACCTGTTATGGAGGGAAGCTCATCTTACAGCTGCGTCACTCTAATGTAAATGCAAACTACACTCTGAATGTGAGTGAGTGTTGGCTTTGTGGGGAAAAAGTTACTGCAGGGTCACAGTTATGTACTCACAAACATTCATTCAATGGTGTTTTTCAAGTGAATGAGGAATTCATTCAGTTAGACATAGACCATTACATTCCTGAACAAACACTTGACCCTCAAGATGGACAGGAGATGACAGACAGTGTTTTGCAGCATTCAGACTCCTCAGGGATGCACCATGACCTTGGTGGCACTCGGGAGCTAGAGCTGCCTGAGAACATCAGCGGAGGAGATGCTCTGGGCATGGGTGCAGGGGCTCCAGGGCTTCATTATGGAGCTGGGCCTGACCCCAGTTTGGTTCCACCTCTGAGCTCTGCTAATATCATGGCTTCTGCTATTCCCACCAATCCTAGTCCATGCTTAAATACATCCTTTGGCCAGCTGCAGCTCCCTGGGATGCCATTAACAACTAATCATTCCACCTTGTCTCCCGGGATTCCAGGCATGGCTGATTCACCAGCTCTGAATGCAACACAGCCGCTGTGCTCAGCCAGCACCCCTGTCTTTGGCTTGACCCATGTAGACACTTCATCTACTAATGCCTTATTGACATCAACTTCTAACCAAAGGAAGGTATCTGTTCAGCCCAGCCAACCCACTATGGCCAGCAGTTACTCCATGGGAAGTGGTATCAATAATTTCAATATGACTAACCAGATGGGGAATGTGACTGTGCCTAGTCAGCCTAGTCATCGGGATCTGCCCGGACGCAGTAAACACTCACTGCAGTACCACTTGCCCTTTTCTGTTGGTGGGGATTACAACTGTCACACGCTTACCAGTTTAGAGGCAGAGACAGAGAAAAACTCTGAACTTCCTTGTCTCACATCTTTACACACTGTACCTGCAAGTCTTGACACCCGTGTACAAAGAACAGATGTTATGCCTAAGAAAACAGAAATTGGGGCCAAGAAAAGAAAAAGCAGAGCCCAGAGGAAGCCAAGTGTAATCCAGATGAGGGAGTACAAAAATGAACCCCAAGAGAATACCTCTGTGAAGAATTTTTACACAGAAGCAGAAATGGCATCTGTTAAGATGGAGCCCCTTGACAGCGCACAAGCAAAAGACTTTGGTGTCGATAGTAGACAAGGAGGAAGACCAGATGCCAGTATAGAAGACTGGATCAGGCATAACCTCCCAGAAGGTGACCTAATTGTCAGTGACAATCAAATGAAGCAAGCAGCAGACAGCGAAGACAAATTGCAGGAATTAGACCTGAAGAACAATGCTAAGTCAGCAGAGATTGACAACCTGGAAAAGAACCAGAAGCTAGAGAGCATGGAGTCCATAGAACCAGACCAGACTTCAAGATTGGCTGCACACAAGCTTGCCAGAGGGATGGACCTGTCATGCCGTGTGTGCACCAAGAATTTTGGCAAGGATATTAGAAGTTACAAAACACACATGAAGGAGCACGGACTTGAACGATCTGAACTTCTTGCATGCTCTTTCTGTCCCAAGACCTTTGCTAAAGGGAAGCACTATACACAACATCTCAGGATACATGTCAGTACACAGCGCTTCTCCTGCAAGGTCTGTAATGCCAGTTACAGCCGGAAAGCCAAGCTGGCACGGCATATGTTGAGTCACAGCCAGGAGCAGCAGGTCAAGATGCACAAGTGTTCTAAGTGTCCCAAATCATTCAGTGAGAAAGAATATCTCCAGGCTCATCTCAAGTTGCACGAAGGGGGCAAGAAGTATGAGTGTGATGCTTGTGGGTTCCTTTGTTCATCCACTTATAACCTGGACACCCACAAGAAGCAGCATTTGAGTGACAAACCTTTCAAGTGCGAGTTGTGTGACAAGACTTTTATTCGCAGAGATTTTCTGGACCAGCACATGGAACAGATTCACAAGAACAAAAAGAGCAAGTGTGAAAAGTGTGGCAAATTGTTCTCTCGGAAAGATGTCCTCAAGAGGCATCTTGCTGTGCATAATAATGAAACCTATGATTGTGATTTATGCCAAAAAAAGTTTTCTAGAAAAGACCGACTCGCTTCGCATAAGAAGCTACATAAAATGAATTGTGAGTACAAGTGTTCTCTTTGCCCAGCATCATTCAGTAGGAAAAATGTGTTGGATAAACATGAGAAAATCCACAAAACAAAAGAACAATGTAAAGAGTGTTACAAATTCCTGCCTAACAAACAGAGGTTAGAGTCTCATATGAAGCTGCATGAGAAGAACCGATCCAAGGAGGATGGCAAGGGGATGCACAAATGCGATATCTGTGAGAAGTCCCTCACCAGCAGAGACATCCTGAGGAAACACATCCGTAAAATCCACGGCAAGTTCCCTGAGCCCAAGAAGAAGGTTGAAGTCATGGAGAGGGAGAAGAGGTTCATCTGTCAGTGGTGCTCAAAGGGGTTCACAAGGAGCTGTAACCTAAGCACTCATCTCCTGAAGGCGCACAGCAAGGATTCAGAAGACGACTTTGATGATGACTTGCCTTCGGTACTCCAGTCGTCCAGGTGTAAGAGTGAGTCAACCAGGTCCAGCAGCAGTGATCATCCCACATCAGCCCTTGCCTCCTTCACAGCCTCCTCTGCATCCTCGTCTTCCTGCCATGGCTTTCCCACCTCCTCGCATAGTACATCATCCACAACGTCTCCAGTTAGCACCTCTGCTGGCCTCTCATCTTCCGTGAGTCTGGCTTCCTCATCCCCAACCTCGTCCCAGCCTCCTCCTCCTCTCCCTCCTCCATCCGCTCCACCTCCACCCCTCTCCCTTTCCTCTTCCCATTTCCCATCTTCAGGGCGTCCAGAATCTCCAATTAACTTGTCAACAGAGGCCATCACAGCAGCTGCGTATCTCTTGGCATATCCCTCCTATCCGGGTCCATACTAACACAGGTGTACATATTAGCATTCATATCAGTGATTGTAGGACGATTGATGTCCTTTTCCACAGAAAGTGTTGAATCGTAACTTGGGTTTGACTTTTGTAAAGTTTTATGGCAGATATTACTGCAACATAATATTCTAGTATACTATGTATATATGAATATATATACATATATATATATATATGCATATATGAATATTTTTGATAATGGCTTGATGAAAATACAAACTAACAGTTGTGCAGCTAATAGGTCATAAGGGAAGTTTTCTTTGTATAAACCTCTTATTTTATCATATGCTTTGAATATCTGTGGCTGTATTTGATTAATGCCAAAGAAAGGAGAAAAAGGGTCGGGATTAAAAAGAAAAAAAAAAAAAAAATTCTGCAAAGTATTATTGCCGTTTGGTATTTTTATGCAGCTACAGCTTTTATTTTATTTTAATGTTGATAATGACACCTGCCACTATCTCATACGCCTCTGAGAGGGAGAAAGCTCTTCTTAGCATTTGATTTGCTCTCAAGGGGTCGTACTTAACATTTCTTGCATTAAGAGTATGACCAATTTAAGGAAAGGATACAGTACAAAGTATTACATTAAAATCCTTAAGATAACTTTGTAGGACAGTATACTACTCATTCCAATGCTGTCATTTTATTTTATTTTTTTAAATAAATGAAAGAATTTTCATCAGCAAATGCAGCTGCTGGGCTCAGTGAGACATGATGATGTGTATATTTTATATGTATTGTTAAGTTTACTGTTGTAAATATTTATGGGCCAGTTGTAAGTGAAACAACAGAGAAAGCATTTTAACCATTATAATGTGAATCCTGGTGAATAATTGTGTATCATGATATATTGCAGTCTGAATGGTGTGCTTCCTGCCTGAGCTATCAGTATTCCAAAGTCCAAAAACGTCTATTTCAATGACAAATTAATAAAGAGAGAGATCTTTGCATATTTCAGGTAAAAAAAGAGAAATATGTGTTTCTTTGTGTTTTTAATTTAAAGTTGCTTTTATATCAATTTTTTAAATGATATATTATTACTTTCCACAAATATTGGGAATTTTTGGTAATGATTGTTAATCTAGGACATTCAATAATTATTTAAAAATATATATAATTTCATAGATAAAAGAAAGGGGTAACATGTTACATATTTTAAAACTGATATGAAGATCAAATTAATAATTAAACTTTACTTTTTATTTACCTTACAAACACTGATAATATCAGTTGGCAGTTAGTAAATTTCAGTCAAATTTTAATATAACTTTTTGTCTTTCTCTTTATCACTCTTGCAATATCTATTATAGCAGATGTATAAAGCTAGCCCCCCCCCCCCTCTCTCTCTCTCTCTCTCTCTTCTCTCTTCTCTCTCTCTCTCTCTCTCTCTCTCTCTCTCTCTCTCTCTCTCTCTCTCTCTCTCTCTCTCTCTCTCTCTCTCTCTCTCTCTCTCTCTCTCTCTCTCACCACAGTCATTTCAAAATATGTGAGCTCTTTTATATGACCATCATGAAAAATTACCATAGGAAAAAAAGTTTAACTCTCAGAACACCCTGATAACAAGAAAATTTGAAAATGTTTAATGTTGATGGGCATTGGAATGGCAGCCTGCATAGGTGCTACTTATATTGGGTTGTTTAAATACATGTATGAATGGACGAAAAATTTTGTCTTAGTAATCTCTGAAATTGCCTTTTACTACAAAATATATTGAATGAATACTTTTGTTTTATAATTATTCAGCAAATCAGGTTTTGGTTTGTTAACTGTCAGCTATTGTTTTGAAGTGGTGACAAAAGCACTAATTTCTTTGAATCAAAGGATTGTTTGGAAAACATCCAAGCATTATTCATTTTGTGATGCTTAGTTATCATGATTTCAAGGACCAGATTTACCTGTGTATTACATTGTTTCCTAATCTCTTTACGAGTGACATAAGTAAAATCTACTTTTAGTAATTACATCTTTAAGAGAATGAAATTTGAGTGCTTACCAACGGTGAAATTATAGGCCAAAATATATATTGTTTGCACCAGCTGACGAGCAAACAGGTTTTATCCTCATTCACAAAAGGGAAATAAAGTCCCTTATACTTATTCAGTATTATACCAGTGCAAGAGCAAAAAGTGCATTCAAGTCATAAATTTATATTACTGATAGTTTGGTTTTAATCCCTGGGATGTCAGGAAAAGGAGGAAAAAAGTGGAAATGGATTGGAATTGGGAATTAACAGCCATTCCCTGTACCTGGTATTATATTATCCAGATATCCAAGTGAAGTGATATATCAGGCATGAGAATCCAAAACATTGCATTTTGTCTTGTTGAAATTTTATTTTTTAAAAATCAATGGTACAAAAGTCACTTTCTTGATCTAATGGTTCTACTTAAGGGGTCGCACATTTAGTACATGTGATTTTAGGGAAGGGATTAATATATAAGCATATATTAGTATGCAAAGGCAATGAGGAAAATTATTCAGGTAAGCAAATTCATTTTTTTTCTTTCTTATTGCAAGTTGTACCATGATTATCTACAAGAGGGATTAAAGTGAATGTAAGAAAAAGGTACTGAAAGCAAATGCAAGCGGTGGGAGGGGGGAATGGTATTGTGAATCAGTTTGTTTTTCTCTTTTTATTATTATTATTAATGTACTAAATGAATAACCCCAACAGAAAAAGGTTTTCATGTTTTTTAATGTGAGGATAATGATCTCAGTGTGTATGTCTTTTTTTTTCTTCTTCTTTTTTCTATGTACAGATTGTTTCTAGTTAAATAAATCATAAGATTGTTCTTATCATTAGAATGATGTTTAAGATATTAATGTATGTTTCGATAAAAAAAGAGTAGTAATTTGAATCTTTAGTGTTTCTTTATCAAGAAAAGAATAAATGATTTATTTGTTTACTGTGGCGTTTGATTTTAGCCCTCTTACATAGTAAGAAATATATATATATTTTCAATATTACACAGATATATTAGTTGAAGTTTAAACTGTTTTGTTTATAATAATTTATTTCTTTTCTACATTTATTTTTTTCTTTCTTTCCTTTTTCATATTACTGAAATGGACCGTTTCATCAAGATATTTGTATGAATTGTAAAATGATTTAAAGATTTCACTGCATAAATTATTCTGTAAAGTAAAACAAAAACTTTAAGGTACAAATTATAATTTTTAAAACATTTTACAATGAATAAGAAGCAAAACAAAAGCAAAGAATAAGAAGGGGACACCTGACAATGTAATTCATCCAGTGATAGAGATCATTTGTGATAATACTGGCACAGAGAAGTTGAAATCTTGAACTTCATTTTGCATGTTCAGGAATTATTTCAGGGAGAAACTAAACATTCACCATCTCTTAGTCTGGCCAAAAATCCGCTGGGTTACATCAGAAAGCTGAGGCGAAGCAGGAACATCATCTTGCTTCAGGAACTCTTCCACTGCCATTCTTGGCCTATGCCGAGCTGTTTCAGCACCCTTTTGGGCTTCGTCCCGACTACTAGTTGGTTCAGAAAAAGTCGCTTGATAGCCTAGGGTGTCCATCATGGAACGAGAAAAGCTACCTGGCTCAGAGTTGTATGGATGGCTGCTGCTTCTGTGATAGGATGGGAGATGGGGCATTTCACTTTTCCGTGGTTCTGTTGGGTTTCTGTAGCTATAGTGCTGTTCTGTCTGTCTACGAGAGCTGTGGGTAGGCACTGGATTTTGGACATAGGTTAAGACTGAACGTGTGATGTCAGATAGCTGTGGTGAAGAAGGGCTGGTAACATAGCTCTTCTTGGGACAAGGAAAGCTAGACATACCCTGAGGGTGAGATTTAGAGTGTGCAGATGAGAGGAAAGGTTCCTCAGGAGTTCTCTCATCTATGTGATTTTCACTCTGAGGCTTCTTGTAAGAAAGAGCAGGTTCCTCTGGAGTGTAGTTCTCTTTGTTGAAATTTTTCACAAATGCCAATTTTTTCTCACTATAAGAAAGTGCTGGCTCCTCTGGAGTGTAAACTCTCTCTGCCTTTTTCTCCTCTCTTGATGACTCGGTTGTGAATGTTGACAAGCCTGGTTCCTCTGGTGTTGCAGCATGCAATTGTCTTGCATGTGGCACCTGTGGCTCCTCATATGCCTGTATGGGCTTGCGGTTAATAAGAGACAATAAGGAAGTGGTATATTCCGAAAGCTGGGGTTCACTCGGGGTGGCTGGTGCACTGCAAGCCACCTCAGAGGTATCCTTCCTTTGGCTGGCAGGTGGGGTCACTGGACGAGGAGCTTCCATCCTCTGTGTAACTCTGGCAGAAGTTGGATTCTCTTGCCTCCGAGGGGGAGTTTCCACTAGATGCAGATCTCTTTCCTCTGATTGAATACGCTGAGGAAGTCGCTTTCTCATGGACGTTCTGTGTGCTGGTAATACATCTGGTGTCAATTCCACAGGTTCACTTACTCCTGCCAGCCATTGGTCAACTGTCATGTAGGAGTGTGACAGGGACGAGAGTGAGCAGACGCCTTTGGTCTCTTCTTCGTATTTACTTTGAACCTTGCTTGTTATAGGTGTTTCTAGGTGAGCCTTAGAGGGAGCCTGTACCTGTAAAATGAATTTAAAGTGACATCATCTAATGTTCTGTGCAAAATTATAATAGTTTTGGTTACTGGCAACTGATGTAACAATGGGTACTAATGTGACAGAGATGGTGAGAAATTTCAGTATACTCTATTTTATTAACAAACTCAGAATCTCTTATAGTACAAGGTCACATTTTTTATCTATATGTTATGTTAAACTTATATTTCTCTTAAGCTCTTTCATATACAATATAAAAATAGCCTTTATATACATGCAGTCTCTACCACCACTTGTGGCGAAACACCATCTTCCTAGAAAAGACCGAAGTGTCTACAATAACCTCATGGATGAACTACGCATTGGAGATAATCACGGATTCTATGAATACCATGACATACCGATTGAAGAAATTCTTAGAAAAGCTAATCCACCATTTTATTAATTATCAAACATCATACAACTGTAGCTACTCCACTACCACAAATTTCAACAGAAATAGGAAATCTGACAATATTCTTTCCAATAGCTTATACACTAATAGTTTAATCAGTAATGTATGAGAGATGTTATCAAGTACTGATAAAAAGTTAAGTTGGGAGGAAGCAAATACTATAACAGAAATTGAGTAAATTGCTAATGGTTGAAACAAATAAAAAGTGCTGGACATAAAAGGTCTTACAGCACTATGGTAAAGTATTCTGGTGAAAAGGATGAAAACAAGTTAATGATTAGGATAAAATGAGTTAGATGCTAAAGGTTATAGAGTTATAGGAAAGTATGGTAGTGAAAAAGGTAAAAAGGGGGAGCAAATGATGTAAAGTGGAGATTAGTAAAAAGAGGAAAGGTTAAGGGGACCGTCCTAACAAAAAATTTTAAAAATACTCGATAAAGAAAAAAAAAAAAAAAAAAAAAAAAAAAAAAAAAAAAAAAAATCCTGTCATCTAGTGGGCTCTGGCAATCTTGTAATGTAATATTTTTGCTAAATATGAAAAATTAAAGGAGTTATGAATAAATCTCTGACCCCCCCACCCCCGCTCCGACGTTTACATTGTCGCGTCTGTGAAAATTTACTGGACAAATTTGTTTTTTTTTTTTGTATTTTTGGGGGGTTTATTTTGGAATTCTCTGGTAGCTAGCTGGCAACTCTGTTTACCCATCAGCTGATCGCCAAGCCTGGGGCTCTGGGAGACAAAACTCCACCAGAAAATCAGAGAGAAAGGTTGTCAGCTCTTACCTTCATAACACCATATCGCAGAGTAGGCCCATAAAACAAAGGGGACAATACTAACTGTAGATGTTATTCTATTATTTAATAACCTTGATATTATCAGAAATACTCCTTAATCACAGCTGCAATAGTTTTTTTTTATACATTTAAATACCTCACGTTGCCAGGTTGGGTACTGGAAAACCTGTGTTGACAGGTGGTAATTCCACAATTATGTGCAGTTATTACCATTAGTACTTTGCAAAAGGAGGGGACAGTGTACCAGCTACACTTCAGAATACCATGTGAATGTAATAAAATGCAGCAAGATTGCCACAGAGATTAGAATTCTAAAAAAAAAAAAAAAAAAAAAAAAAAAAAAAAAAAAAAAAAAAATATATATATATATATATATATATATATATATATATATATATATATATATATATATATATATATCAAGGGAAATCCAAAATTTCGGAGCACATCATCTCAAAACTACACTTTTCTCAACATTTGTCAGCACTTTTAAAATTCATCCATAGATTCTTGGGCGATTCTAATGGGGTTTGGATCATTTAAAAGCTGAATATATTTGTGATGGTTTTCTTAGAGAAAATTTTCATTTTAGGTAATAGAAGTCTATATATCATATCGTGATGTTTATAAGACTGGGCATTTAGGAAAAAATAAATTCCCACTAATCTAAAACGAAATTTAAAACTCCGGTCTTTGCAAATTTTAGGTATGGCTATAGACTATAGGTGGTAATTTTTTCAAGAAATTTGTTCAATGGATAAATGCCATTTTTAAGAGACTGCGATTGTTCAAAAACTTGTTTTTTGTTAATAACTTTATTATTTATTAGCCAAATGATACGAAACTTGGTGGTGTTTATCACTTTAAATTTATGTATAACATATTAAAATATCACAAATATCCGATCATAACTGATGAACTTTGTTCTCGAGCGAGACAGGCGCCTTAAGGGCGTAGGGCGATTGGGTGAAATGGAGTGGAAAAAAGTTTTAAGGAAAACTGGCAAAGGAGCTATTATGAAACAATCAACAAGTAAATACCGGTAGAGATGCTTTTGGAGAAGTAGGAGGAGGAGAATCTGAGGAATGAGATGAGGAGACTCAGGAAGGTGGTGAAGCACCAGGGAAGAATGTCATGAGGGAAGAGATCTGAAGGACACTGTTGCGATAGAAGAGATTCAGGTGGGAATGGTAAGGATAATGGGAAAAAGAAGGAATAGTGCACATAGAGAAGGAGAGGATAGGGTGTGTTGGGAAGGAAGAGGGGTAGGGGGGAACTTGAGGAGGAGGATGGATATTGGGAAATACTATTTAGAGGGAATGGGAATAGAGAGATTAGAGGGTGGATGAGGGAGCAGAGCATTCTCTTGGGTCCTGTTTTATGAAGCTTTGGATGTCTTCAAGGGTTTCTGGAGGGGAGTTGAGATACAATGGTTCTCTTGTGAGGAGAAGAGGGGATAGCTGCTTGAGGAAGAGGAGGGTGTAGGAGAGGATGTGGTGGAATATTTAGGGTGCCTGGTGTGACAGGTAAAGTGAAAAGGAGGAGGCGTAGGCATCGGGGAAGTGGTAGAGATTGGAGTATCTGGATTTAGACTGGAAGAGGAATTCGACTGGGGTATAGAGGTAGGATGGTTTGGGGTAAAGGGAAGAGATACTGGGGGAGATGCTGAGACATCTTGAGAAGATGGGTGGGGAGCAGAGTGAAGGACAGTTTTGGAATAGGTAGAGAAAAACCTTGTCAACCTTATATAGAGTGAGGCCTACTTTGAATCTGAGATCTGCTACCTCACATTCAAGCTTATAGGCAGGGCAGCTCCAATAAAATACATTATGGGAGCCACCACCATTAGCACACATATGTGACTGAGCAGAGCAATTTGAATGGTCATGAACAGGTTGGGAATATAGAGGGCAGCTGTCTGTGGAGCAACAGTGTTTGGCTGGGTGGCCAAAATGCCAACATTTCTGTCACTGACGAGGAAGAGGTCAATATGGTAGGACAGGGCAGGGCACTCCACCAATAAAAACTTCAAGGGGGAAGGTCATGTCTACAGAAGCTAATCTTGGCAATATTGGAAGGAATAATGTAGCACTGTACTGCTACTGCATCATAATTTTTGGAGACATTGGAAGTTGTAAGTGGCTGTAGGGGGAATCACAGAGAATCGTTACCACTTGGCTGGGCCAAAGAGAGTACTCTAAAGGTTTGTAGAGGTGGAAGCTGTAGAAGAACAAGGATGCAAGGTAGATGGGTTAATGTAGAGTGAGGTAGTACTGTGGAGAGGACAATAAGGATGAAGTAATGAGAGGGGATGGGGTAGACAATGAAGGAGACTGTGCAGTGAGAGATAGAGTGGAGAATGTTGGGAAAGAATTAACAATTAGGAGAAATAAGTAAGATAGAGGAAGTATTAGTATCAGTGGTTGGAGCTGATAGACTATTGATGAAGGTGCAAGCCTTAATGCTCCTAATGAGGGTAAAAATCTTCATTATCAGCCATGGAGAGTGAAAAAATGGGAAACAGTATACTCTTCAAGGTCCCCATAAGGGATAATGGGCAAGGCGATTAACTAAGGGCTCCCATGGCTTCCGGAAACAGTTTAAAACTGACACAAAGCCAGCCTTTCATCCTTTCAGCATGGCTCTCACACCTTAGGAAAGGACTGAAGAAGAGGATGAAGAGAAGAAAAAGGAAAGGGGGAGAAGAAAAGACCATGCAACATTACCTGAGGCAAGGACTGAGGCCCAAAGTATTTATGGAAAATTTTCCAAGGCCATTAGCAGTGTATACAAAAGCAATAGGCGAATCTTGGGGGTGAAAACCCCAGGTAAGAAAAGGTCATACAGCATTATGACAAAGTATTGTGGCAAAAAGGTAAAAAATGAATGAAGGATTAGAACAAATATGTTAGATGTCAAAGGTTATAGTGTGCTGTACGTTAGATGAGGATACAGAAGAGGAAAGGGGGAGAAGAAAAGACAAAGCAAAATTACTTGAGGTGAGGACTGAGGCCCAAGTCTGGGGCAGTCCCCTACACTGGGCCTCAGTCT